AAATAATAACAATTTTTATAAGATACACATAATTTTAAGGACTTCTATGATGCATAATTTCTTCTTTTATTGAACTAGCTAAAGTGTAATTAATTCTATCAATTTTAGGAACTCGCTTTTTTTTTTTTGTATCTCAAACACTTTGTTTGCTATTTATTTTAGTTTTTTAAGACGGTATATTTATTGATATAGGAAACACGTGCAAAAGCGCGTATCCTAAGACTAGTATGTGTATAAAAGACGATATGTTACATTTATTAATTTTGATAAAAATATCAAAAATATTTTTGTAACAAGAACATCATGCTTTGATATTTGAACATTTTCACAAAGCCTCACACACATTGCTCTCTCTTGGTTGTTGCCTACGGATCCGGAAACTTTTCATGTGGCTCCGAGCTGTATTTCTTTTTCTTTTGGATTAAAAAAAATTGTCAAACTCAAATCCAAAATTATTAGAGAGACTTTGGGTTTGAAAACTAATCCAATTAGTTTGGAGTTTGGTTTCGGGTTGATTTAAAAAAGATTGGGTTGATGAATGTGAAGCATATAAGATTGACAAAATTAAAAGTGATAATATTTGCAGATGGTGCAAGTAATAAATATAAACGGGGCATTTGTATTTATACCCGTTTTTTGTGTCACATTTTAACTTGTGCCTGCTTTGCAAAAAAAGTTGCAAGCGTACCCACTTTTTCGCATAACTTCAGCACACGAGGCTGAAGTAGCAAAAGCAATCACGCAAAACTTCAGCATTCTAGTAGTCGGGCCTGAAATTCAGCTCTAGAACTGAAGTTTTTGCGTTGTAAATGGAAAACTTCAGCTCTAGAGCTGAAGTTTTTGTGTTGTAACTAGAGCTGAAGTTTCTTGGACTGTTTATCACAAGTAAATCTTTTTATTCAGAATCTGCAATGTCGAGGATTAATCTTCATACAACAAATATTTGATAATTTGGCTCTGCTCTTTATTTAGCAGTTTTGGCGGTCATTTATACAATAACAATTACTTAGAAGCAATATTCGGTACGGTTTGCTCCAGAAAATTTCAGATACAGACCCAACCAAACACTTCAAGCAATGGATAAAGGATTTAATTGAATAAAGTATAATATCTTCCATGTTACTATCCAACAAAACATATTGCATTTTCTGGAAAAAAAATTGCAACTTTTCCTGTTACTATCACATAAACTAAGTTCTAGCCACTGAATCTTGATCTACAGGCTGAAGTTCAAATCTAAGAAGGTTGAAGCTCGCCAGTTACAAACAAAAACTTTAGCTCTAGAGCTGAAGTTCCCCAGTTATAAAACAAAAACTTCAGCTCTAGAGCTGAAGTTCCCCAGTTACAAAAACAAAAACTTCAGCCCCAGTTACAAAACAAAAACTCGCCAGTTACAAACAAAAACTTCAGCTCTAGAACTGAAGTTTTTTGTGTTGTAACTGGGAAACTTCAGCTCTATAGCTGAAGTTTTTTAGAGTTCCAATATGGGTATCCTTAAATATTCCTTCTCTATCAAACTTGATAAAGCGCAGCAACACATAGGAAGCAACCCTTTGCAAATTGAACGACGATGCTTGCTTGCCTTATTAAAATTGATGTTGCATACAAGTCAGATCTGTTATATATGAAATTATTATTCGTATTATCGCTATATTATTTTTTTAACAAAATTATCCACTTATTAAAGTATTACAAAGCGTCAAAAGCAGTTGAAAAGTATGTTTCAAAAGGAAATAATAAAGTCAAATGATCAGGTCCTTTACCTTTGGTCAATTCATGTAACTACCAGACAGTTTGTAAACGTTTGTGGTTGTTTGCAAGAAGAAAGCGAAAGAAAATGAAGGAAGAGAAGGAGGGGGAGAAAGGGGCTCAAGTTGTTTAAAAAGTGGGTATAAATTAAAAGTTTTTAAAAAAAATGGGTATAGGTTAAATGGGGACGACCAAATAAGGCGTCCGGTGCCATTTTTACATATAAACTGAGTAAGGTTGCTTGAATTGTTCCTGGCATCTCTCTACATCAACCAAATAGTACAATTTAACGTTTCAGTGTAAATACATAGCCAATCCACAACTATATTTTATACTAATACCTCACTTTAACTTCGTTAATTAGAATTTTTAAGAAATGTAAGTGGCTAGAGCCATGCTCACTCCGCCTGATTTACCCTGAATGTGATTGATAAGTACATAAATAAGACTAAACAGAACTCAAACTCAAACTCAAACCTGTCTAAGAAAAGATAAACTCACTACTGTTCCTTTTTATCGAAGAACAATTAAGGCAGGTTATATTTTAACTCTCTCTCTCTCTCTCTCTCTCTCTCTCTCTCTCTCTCTCTCTATCTATGCAATAAAGTTAGCAAGTCAATTAGCAATTAACATTCCCGTCTATGTATACAGATTGTTTGAAGTACAACTTTGAACATATGCCGGTAAAAATGTTCTTGGGGAGCTCCATCTCAGTGGCTGGAGTTTCTTCACGAGTTTAAGCATCATGGATCATAGGCCTCCAAAGCTACTACAATTTCAAGCTCCTGGCCGCAAGTAAGCTCATCAATATCCTATAACTCTTACCAGAATATTTCAAATCAATTCAATCCACGTTGCTGTGTCAGCAAGGCTTCAGCCACAGAATTTGTTCAGACCAAAAAGGCATTCAAAATTGAACACGTTGAAGATAGGTTAACGCCCAAAGGACTCTTTTATAGTAGGGTGTCTTATATACAAGCAAAACCTCTTGAACAGCGATCTTTGATCCTTTCTCAATCTGAAAGCAACTCATCCAATTCAGTTTCCTCAGACGTGAAAGGGTCATAATCAGTACTTGTTTCATTGGACAAAGCTTCAACTTGGGATCTACTAAGTGAAACTTCACCTGGAGGGCTATCCACATCATCTTCATCCTCGGGATCAGACATTTCTGGCTCATAGTCTATATTTTCATCGTGAACTGCCTCAACATCTTTCTTCGCATCATCACTGTCTTTTTTCTTAGCTAGATTGCCTTTACCAATTTTTTTACGACCCCAGTCCATTTTTGATTCAGCCTCAGAATCCTCACATATACACGCTGATGGATTTTCATGAAACTCACCCCTCCCTGGCCTCACCTCCTTGGGCTCCCCCAGGAATCCTCTTTGAAATGTATGAACTTTAGCTGCGAATTCCTCCCATGTCATGTTATTTTTGTTTAAGAACACACGATATAGTTTCTTAGCATTTGGTCGAATGGTAGGCTTATGACCAAAATATCTCCTGTATCAAAAAGAAATATTAGCCAGAATCTAAGTAAAATTTCCAAAACAAACTGAAATGCCCGAAAGGGAAGCAGCATACCTTCGTCCTGCCAAAATTTTTGCCATGTTTCCATTGTTATTGGTGACAAATACATCACTTTCATCACAAACTATGAAGTCAAGAGCAGCCATTCTAGAAGAAAATGCAGAAAATGGTTCCAACTCTTCCTTGCTGGCAATAGTGTCCTTGGAGTAGAAGTTTGGAAACAGGGCCTTTAACGGAGCCAACGTCTCTTCACCTCCATATACTTCACCAGATGCTACATAAATATGAACATCTTTCCCATATCCAAGTGCTCTTAGCATCAAGCCAACTTCTTCAGGAGTTAGAGGGCATCTTCCTTGCCTCCTTGCCCTATCCGGATTGCTGTTCTGCACATGTATCAAAAAAGAGTTTACACACACTTCAGTCCTTTGAGTATATTATCATATTGTGTGGAAGAAAAGTAAAAAGTGCCTCCATTAACCTAAAAGCATATTCATAAAGCACCCTATCAACAACAAAAAAAAAACCTCATAAAAGCAATTCTCTCTCTCTCTCTCTCTCGGTGTGTGTGTGTATTCACATTTCTTTACTGCTTCGCTGAAGCTAACATATATGTATGTACACACATATATAAGACAGAGAGAGGGAGAGGGGGGGGGGGNCAGATTATCTAGTGTTACTTTTATTCTCTTTTTGATAGATCATTCACCTTGTATTATCAAAATTAAAAATCTGAATAAATACAGAATAGTTCAACGCATGAGTGGAACAAACAATCAAATCTTTAAAGTACATTGCCATGATGATTCAATATGAGGAAATGACCAAAAAACTGATACTCTTGGGGTCTCACATGTAAAGTTTTCCACCTCCGCCGTATCTTTCCCAGTTCAGTCCTCTCCTTATCCCCTCCACCATAGTAGCATCCCGAGAACGCAAGCATATCAGGTTCAAACCTGTTAACAATACACTATAAGAAAACTTTTCCTTCTATAGAATTCCCAAACTGCATCAAATCATTTCCTCCCATCATCCAAAATTTAATGTATCAGCAGAAAAAGAAATACATCAGGCAAACAATAAGCTTTTCGTAAAAAATAATGTAGAGCTTGTTATCATGGTAATTCTTAGCCAGTCATCTCATACGTGATGGACAAATTGTTCAAGAACCAAATTCTTCTAACTAAATCATCATAAGTTAAAAAACCAAATATAACATTTCCTTTCAGCCTAGGTGCATCCGTGAACATTGAATGTTATTAGGCAAACTCTTTAGCTTACTGAAAGGATAATAGCTACAAATAGCATAGCACTATGAGAAACACATGAAATACAACGCACTATGAGAAATGCTCAGGACATTATATTGATTCTGCACTTGAAGGACATTACTAGTGGTAGCCATAAGGAAATGGAGGATGACAATAGGAAAAGACAGACAGAAATACGAAACAGAAAATCAAAAAATCGAGATGGATCATATGACTAACCTTAGGTGAAGGGCAATATAATGCTTGCTACTCCGCCTCATACGCTGGATCAATTTCTCACCCATTTCGAGGATAGGGTCAGAAAACTTCAGGGCATGATAATTGACTCTGCATCTAAGCTTTTGCAAATCTGTATCCAGCTTATTTGCAAGTCGATAGTCAAACTTGCTGATCTGTACAGCCTGTCACAAGAAGCAGACTGCTTATACAGGTCTAAGATATCAACAATAAACAACACTAATAGACAGCATACAGAAAGGAGCAACCCCCTTTCCCCTGCAAGCAATGGTAAGCTAGATAATTTCTGATTTTTGAAATTGAGGACTGATGTTCCTATTGACTGTACAGGCAATTGTAATTCTTCTGGGTTAAGACCCTTAAATAAACGTATTAGGGTTATTGAAGCCTTGGGGCCTAGTTCTCTTGAAAAACAATTTTCAACCAAGATTGATAAATTTGACTCAATAAAGCAAAAAAAAATTCCTCGATCTCCCACCTAAAAGAGTTATAACAAAATTTGGATATTTGAAAGATGTTTTCTGATGGAAAGCTTTCCTCATGCATCCAGCGGGTAGTAACCCCTCTTAGCATCCTAACCAGTAACCAGCTGTACAAAGTAGTGAACTTGGACATAACATAACATAGCAATTCTTCTCCTAAGTTTTTAGCATCAATTGAGTTTACTATTCATAACCAAGCTAATTCATGATTCATCAAAAACTTCTAAAATTTTTGTTTTCATGTGAATCAGTGATCACTTTCCAAAGTATCAATAGAATTTTGCAAGAAGTTTCAGGAAGTACACAAGTATCTAGTGCCTCAGCCCCTTAGTCCAGTAGTTTTAGAAGTTCAGTTACATCAACGGAAAAGGATGCGCAAATTTTCAAAATTTTAAAGGTTTCATAGCCAGACTGTTGAGGTTGAATGTAAAAACTCCAAAATAGCTGGACTGCTGAGATTGAATGTAAATACTCCAAAAAAGTAACAAGCAGTGACCCAAAATACAGTATAGAATTAACAAACGTGTGTTTCTTAGATATGTTTTTATTCATCCAAAAATTACAAAGAAATATAAGTGATGTGAAAACTCACATGTTTTTTCATGAGTACAGGCAATACACGATTTATATAGCATCTCTCATTGCACTTTCTAGGAACACGCATTCTATATGGCGTCCATATCTGTCCTCTTCTAAGCGGAAGGTCTTTTAAAATTGAAACATCTGTTGTTAGATGTTTTATAAACCGATCAACATCAAATATGTCAGAGAAATCACTGCAAGAGAAAAGTAGAGCATTTCACTTTCACAGTAATATGCCGGATCATTAGCATATTAAATGTACATATACAGTAAGTTCAGAGATGGTTAGAGAAACCAATATGCAAGAAAATACTGAATGATTCTTCTAATACTCACCTAGAATCTTTCCAGAAAGACGTCTTGTCCAACTTTGGAACAACAAGAGTAGCATTTAAAATGCGAGCAGCAACAACGGCATCAGTTATCTGCCATAAAGATGGTTAACTATTGAAGGTTCCACACTTTCCACATTTTTGTAGTTTGGTTCCAGCAGAAAGCTAAAGTACACAGGTGGTAATAGAAAGGGGTGCTAATTCAAAGGGTCATATATTAGAAAAGGCATAGATGTTTGTCGTTGTTCAAGGATTTATCAGAATCATGTTACATAGAGAGGAGACGATTGCTCAATTTATTAGTATCTCAAACCATAGACTCATCAGGCACGAATACAGATAATTCTTGTAGGGAGTATTTGACAACCTGTATTTAGCATGAACTGGTAATTCATAAGTGTGTCTTCTGTAGCCAATATAACATAAAAGTGCAAATACCTATAGCTCACTTATCAAATCCCAAAGCATGATTGTGCACACATACTTGCTATCACTGAATATGAAATTTGTATGGGTAATTCATGACCATCACTTCTCTGTCACATCAAATTAGGTGCATCTTGAGGTGTAAAGAATCAGTAATCAATCAATCAATCAATAAACTATGCTTCAATCCAGTATTAGTTGCGGTCAGTTTTATAAATCAAGGATATCTTGCAAAAACTGAATATTACAACAATAATGATATGAAAGAAAGTTAAGAACTGCATGCATAATTCAGCAACACTTGAGCAATCATTAGATATTGTGTCCCATCAGCTGCATAAAGCTTCTCGACCTACTGGTATAGAGCACCTCATAATACATGGGCATCGTTCACTGTGAAATCTGATGCCTTAAATTGTGACTGTGTTGCATGTACTTAAAACAATACCAACAACTAAGCCACAGTACTTAATTAGTTTGGTTGGCTACATAATCTTCTATACCTCCAGCTTCATTTGGGCCTCTTTATTCCAATACTCAGTAATTTGTTCTTTCAAGACAATTAGGGATGCTTCAACCCAGGTTCCAATGTAGCAGGTATCTAGAAAAGCACATCCAAGGCATTCATTATGATGATATCCATTATAAATTGATTAGTTTCACAATCGCGAACATAACGGAATCTTATTCCTTTATTCAAGCTTGCATGTACATTAACTATGTAAAGGACAAAGACAAGTTCATTTGAACTGCACTATGAAACTTGACAACCACTGTAACAATTATCTTAATCATACTAGTGCTAGAACAAAAAAAGAGTTCCTTGATCAAAATCCCGTTCCTTGTTAGTCAACAAAATAAAACATAAATCAGACTCAATCCGAAAAGCCAGTCCAGAATCATTTTCTTACCCCAGTTCTTTGTTGGTTAAGACCTCCACTGGTCACAATCAACAAGAATCGATTTGGACGTGTGATGGCTTGGGCTTCTGCAATTTGAAAGAGTACAAATACTTAATGAGATTTCAAATACCAAATTTAGCTTCATATAATAATTCCTTTAGATTTAAGTTATATACACAGACAGTGCAATGAATTTTTTACATCATGTATTATATAACCTATTATAACAGGTTACTTACCTTTATTCTAAGTTATCAATATGCCATTAAATTGAGTTACCTGCAATTACTTTTTAAATGACATGATTGTTCAAATATTTTTTACACTGTAAGTGCATAAAATTTAAATTCATTCCTTCATTGCTACGTAAACCTACTAGTATAACAAGCTGATTACTTTCTTCCAAAAAATGAAAGCTATAAACAAACTAAATTTACGTACTTGCAAATTTACTGCTGGCATTACTGCATCCATAGAAGAACTTCGAATTTCTCGAACTCCAGAGATCACGATTATTAACTCCTCCACTGATCTAGATCTCAACAACCAATAAACAACATTTAGAAACCTTAGATCCAATCAAATAAAAACTTTACAAATAAACACAATAAAATTCAGATTAAATCCTAACCTCAACACGAAATGGAGAAACTCCAATCTCATTACCACTACCTTTGCTTCCCTACAAATAAAAAACATCGCAATTAAATTAATACTGGCTGTACTTTATCGTATATGAATCAATCATATCAATCAATTAACTAAGCCTCAATACAAAACTAGTAGGAATCAGCTACATGATTTGAACGTTATAAAATTAATATGCAGCTACTAATTAGGTAAATAAATAGCATTTGATCGTGAGCATGATTTGATAATGTACCAAGGAAAGATCATCATGACGACGGGAGCGGCGGAGGTGATTATCATCATTAGGAGACGGCGCGAGGATTAAGATGAAGAGGAATATGACGAGGAGAAAGGTGGAAGCAGCGTAAATGATGGGGATTATAAACCGCCGCGCACGGCTGTGATGCTGGTTGCGCCGCCGTGGGATCGCCATACGGCGGCGGTTGTGATAGGAAGCTTTGAGTAGACTCCTCTTCCTGCAGTCACCCCGTTAGCGGAGCAAGAGGAGAGGGTTTAGGGGTATTATAGGGAATACAGATTTGTTATTCTTTCTTCTTTGAGGAGAGAGGATTTTTCTGTTGGGGTTTTAGCCCATAACGATTAACGACAAGGATTGCATTGTAGGAAACACTGCTATTGTCTGTTTTTTAGCTTTTGGACTGATGAATTATTTATATAACACCGTTTACAGACAATTGAAAAGAAACCGGAAAAAGCTAAAAGAAAATGAAAAAGAGAGGATTGTGTTTCTGATTTTTAGATCTTTGAATTGTTCGTTACTTGAGAAGGTACACTTGGGGTAGAAATAATGACCTTCGGCATTTGAGATATAGAATCCTGTTCCTTTTATATTAAAAATTGCACAATTTAACTTTCCGTAAATAAAATAAAAAGGATAGCCGGTGCCCTAAGCTCCCATTATGCGTGGAGTCCGGAAAAAGGCCGGACCATAAGTGTCTATTAACAATATAATTATGGACAAAATTTAACTGAAAAAACATACAAATTATCCAAGTCATGCGAGCAAAAAGATCTATTCATTGGTCAGAAAAGCAAAATAATAAGAATTGCCATGATTAATAGCCTAGAAATTTCTTCCTCTATTCTTACCTGCACATATCAAAGAAATTCAATTTAATATGGTTAAGTGATTTAATAAAGTAAAAATATATATTAAATAATCATGATTATGTGATAGAAATGTATGCGGAACCACAATACCAATTTCGTATAAATATCCGGGTGCGAGTAAATTTTTAATCCCTTTTCATGGTAATTGCTCTATGTCTCCACCTCATGGTTAAAAGTGGAGGAATTGGACTATTACAACAACTCTAACTCGTTTTTTTTTATATCCACATTCAAATTAGAGAGAAGTAATAGTAAAATAGAAGAGAACCGTTGAATTTTAGTTTGTAGATTGGATCTGTGATTAAATTATGAAAGCTCATCAGCTATTGTTTTCCACTTGAAGTCATTTTCTAATAAATTCAAGATCTCTTTGCATATTAAATTACAATTTGCACCTGTAAATGTTTGTTGATGCAGACTAACAGATGGAGCTGTGATGAAGTAGCTGAGTATTACGCGCCTTCCTGATGCCCGTATCAAACTTTTAGAGTTACGGGGCAATGTCAAGAAAACAGCGTGCACGAGGAAATTGAACGAAAACTTGCTTGTATTAAAAGAGAAACGAATACAAGAGGCTAATGTGGTGCCGGGGGAGACACCAATACAGAGATTTGAATTCGTCTGGTTGGCTACCAATATTCAATATAGGCAAGAGAACTGTACAAGAGCAAGCTTAAATAGCTCCTTATTACTTACTACCAGCTAACGTCTAACGACAGGCGGATGCCGGATGGAGGATTTAAGTTCTATGGATTCATTATATCTTTAAAATTATGGGTTCAAACTAAGGGTATCTAATGGGTGGGCCGGGCCGGGTTTGGTAGGGAAAATTTTGAACCGTACGGGTTTGGAACCGGGCCGGTTGCGGGTTAGGGGTTACCGGGCTTAATGAGTTCGAGTTCATCCGGGTAAAAAAATGAACCGTAAGGGTTACGGGTACAAGGGGCCGGGCCGGGTTTGGTAGGGAAAATTTTGAACCGTACGGGTTTGGAACCGGGCCGGTTGCGGGTTAGGGGTTACCGGGCTTAATGAGTTCGAGTTCATCCGGGTAAAAAAATGAACCGTAAGGGTTACGGGTACAAGGGGCCGGGCCGGGTTAATATTTTGTATTTTGTATTTTTTATAACTATTGTAATTTATATTAATATAAAGTAAAAATATAAAGAATACAATGAAGATGTAAAAAAATTGCATTTATAAATTGCAAGTGCTACATTTATTTCAAAATTCAAACATACCAATTGAAAGAGTAAATTACATTTAACAAGTAAATTAACGAAAAAAGAGTAAATTCAAAGGTTTTTGCAGTGCCTTAGACTCTAAAACCTTGAAAGAAATAATAATAATTGAAATCTAGCCTTTAAACCGGGCCGGGCCAGTTAACCGGTTCTACAGGGATTTTGGTTGATCGGGTTTAACCGGTCCGGTTAATTGGATAAATTAAAGTGAACGGACCAACCCCCCTAACCCCAGTAACCCAGCCCTAAGTACCGGGCCGGGCCGAGTTTCAACCGGTCTGGGGCGGGGCGGGTTTCATGCCCGTCCCGGGTCAACCCGGCCCATTTGACACCTATAGTTCAACCCTACTATTTGTTAGAATTTAAGTGAATATTTACACTTCAAGTTACGCTCTGCGTCGAAAGTTCTGGGTTTAGTTGAACCAGAGTTGTAACTCTACATCCGCCACTGCGTCTAAAAGCAAAGGCTGTTTTCTTCTGAACCATGGTTTCACATCAGTGATTAATATGCAAACAAAAGGATTTGCCAAAAGTGCAGACACAAGATGAGGTAAATATATCAGAGATAAGGATGTAAACAGCTTTTAGACACACAAAATAGTAGCAACAATTTTTAAAAGTACTTGGATCTTGGTATATAGAGCAATATAACCAAACAAAAACATATTTCATATCCACAGAAACTAAAAACCTAATCCAACTTGCCAGAGGCAACTTCTGTTGCTCAGTTGCTCTCCACTTCAAAAACATTCTGTCAGCAGCCGCAAGTAACGTCGTGTGCTAAAAGCTTGCCTCTAAAAGAAAAGAAGCAGGTGGGCATTTTGCAACAAAGCCATATTTAGAGATGCTATACTTTCTATGCACACCAGCAAGCTTCCCAGTTGCAGCATTCTGATGGAAAGAAACCATCAGTCTTGAGCACTCCCTGTTATAGAAAAGAAAACAGACCACAACACTCAGAGGGCTCTCTTTGTGTGTTCGATAAAAACAATTCATTGATTCAAACAAAGAAAAGTAGATAATGCTTACAAAAGCTGATCTCGAGTATAGTGGCTATACTTCTCACAAGTTTTACTCCACTCGTTAAGCACACCTAGAGTACATTGGGCTGTAAATATTGCTGCAGCAGCTAGCATTGAAGGTGGGAACCTAAGCATTTCATACTCAACGAGGCATAGTTCAGTCATGAAAAAAGACAGGAGCTCCACCTGATCCAAGAAATGCCAGTAGTTAGTCATGATTCAGAATGGTTGTCATTTATTTAAGCAATTTTCTAGTACTACATAAGTTCATTTAATCAAATTTCTGACTAACCTTCTTATCAGACTGAGCAGCTTTAAGAAATCGCATCATAAACACATATGCTGTAGGCACTGGTAGGTTGAACTGTAAGGTATTGATCATCAACTTCTCCTGCAGAGAGCACTCAATCAAAGTCAAAGGTCACGCTAGAAAAACATTAGCAAGACATCATTAAGTTTTACTTGAATTGGAGCGGCAGAAACATAATTTAAGGTAAAGCATTAAATTTTGATCTGTAACTTACCATCTCAAGCACCTCTTTTCTGGTGTAAGCCTTATCAGAGATCAAAATAAGATCCTCAACGACAGGAACTGAAACTTCTTCATACTTGCAGGCTAGAAGCATAGCTGTTACCCCAACAAGCTGGAGTTTTTTCCTAATCACTTGTTGGACTGCTAAGAATCTATCGATAAGATTTACGGTCAAATACAAAGTCTCTTCCATCAGATCAAACTTGTAATGTACCTACATATTTGATTGGACATTAGTGAGGCCGGAAATCATTGTGTTACTTCATGGAATTCAGAGAAACTGTGGATCATTGTTTTTATACCTCAATCAGCCAGTCAATGAGAATAGCTCTCATCCTCTCATTAATATCAAATTGTTGTTCCATATAATTTGGAGGGGCACAGCTAGAACTCTGAAATGATATACGAATTCATAAAAGTGACTCCATCAAACAAAAAGCTAGAAAGTTATACAAATTTTATCTCATTCATTGACTCTTAAAGGAGATATCAATAATCTGAATGACGGAAATCAGATGAAGAACCTATATTATAACTTAGATAAAAAGTCCATATCCATACAAATTAAATAAATCAATTAAGCTCCTACGAAAGGTGCAGGGGGTGTAAATAATTGCTGACCTCGGTCTTCTTGTAGTAAGCATGCATGTCATCAATGTACTCCGCTACTGCAAGTGGGTTCTTTTTATCAGCACTATCTATGTCCACAATTAGTGTCTCTTCTACATCTTCCATCTCCATCTCAGCGTCCTACATAAGAATACAGAATAAATTGCGACGCCAGAGATCATCCAGACTAAAGATACTGATCAAATTAATTACCATCCGATCAATTTCCTCCATCATTGCTTCTGTATGTTGCACAAACATTGGCACAGGATCATAGTCGCTTGTGGCCTTGTAATCTTCTGCATCAATAATGATGCAGTCTTCTGATTCATTTTTAGCAGGTGCTGTTTGGACTGGCTGCTTTGTTACCTGTGGAAGATAACAACATCAACATCTCCGCTATAACATAATCTAGGATGGCACTTGTTGAAAACTGTACCTCAACCGTTGGTTGCTGCTGCTTGGTAGCCATTTGTGCAGCAAATTTCCTGAAGCAGCAAGAATCCCCCATACTATTAAAAAAGAAACCAGGCCAATGATAAAGTACTTAACACAATAAGAACTATCTTAACCAACAGAATTAATGTCAGACCTTGTGATTGGTCGATGAATTGGAATGGGAGGATTCTTAACACCATTCGCGCTCTTGCTAAAAGAATTGGAAAGATCAAAATACTTAATGAAATTGAGAGAAACGGACATCTCGGAACTCAAAACATTAAAGAGTTTAATCAGTTCTTACTCAGTGATGCCATTTCTCTTGTGTACTTTACAAGGGTATGCTGGAGCTTCAACTATATTCCCATTTATTGTGCTTAGAGCCCTTCTATTAGGCCCCATTGTCACCTTTCCTCCTCCAGCCCCTAATCCCCCTAATAACAAAACCATAGTTTTCCCATCTCTTAAATTTGGATTCGTAATAATCAAGCTAGGATACATACATTAAACTAATCATGATCTTAACTATACAATCAATCAATCAACTAGACATCAATCGCAAACCAGATTAAATCGACTATATATGATTCTAAGTATTCAAAACCATAGATTTTCCATTTCATAAAATTTGTATTGATAATAATCAAGCAAGGATACATACATTAAACTAATCATGATTTTAACTATACAATCAATCAACTAAGACCTCAATCGACAAACCAGATTAAATCGGCTATACATGATTTTGACTAATCAAAATTCAAAAAATTTACCTTGAACATTTGAAGCCATTATAACACCTTGGCAATTCTCGTTTGATCCAACCATCTT